TGTAATTGCTTTATCAGTTTCCTTATGTTAAGCTCAAGGTTCGTCCCACAAGAAATATAAAATTCTTAAGTGTTTTATTTCATTACTGCAGCATTAGATTAGGACAAGTGCGTATACTTATGAACGCTTTAGACACACTTTTGGTTTTGCTTTAGTCAGCCACAAGAACACAAAAACCAAATATTATTTATTTGTGTTTGTGAGATAACATTTAAAGCTATATAAATTACAACCATTAGTTAACTCTTAGAATGACTTACGTTTACGATGACACCGCCTACAGATTAAGCAAAAAAAAAAAAAAAAAAAAAAGAAGAAAAATAAGAATGAATAGACAACTGTAGAATAAAAGTTTTTTCCTTCGAATATGCGAATTCTAGCAAAGTAAGATTAATCAAAAATGTAACCAAAGTCTGTGGCATTTCTAAAGCATCATCATAAATTTGGTTTATTTTTTATCCCATCTACTAAAGGACTATGTGAATATTTTTCTCTTCTGATCTCAAGCGAAAATTTATTATATAAAAGAAGCTTTTTTAAATAAGTTCTTATTTTAATAAAGCGAAAGGTGGAGAAAATAAATTTTTCCTGAAGCCAGTTTTATGTGATATGACTACACATATAAGCTATCACGATGCTCAAGAATTTAATATGTAAAGAATTGAAGATTTCGATTCTAAAGCCCACAAGCCCCCACCATAATCACATATGCAAACGTATTTGGAAGAATATATATTTTCCAAATTTTAATTTGTCAAAATAAAAGTTTATGTTAACAAATTTTTTATATAATATTTACTGTGCAGTCTACTGCATTTCGAGTTGTTTTCCTCAAGCGCTTATTGAGGCTTATATTAGAAGGATTGTTAGAGAAAAAGATTATCCGATATTTAGAAAAATTAATTGCATTATGTTATATTGTAATTGCAAACAAAGATGTGTGTGTGTGTTTCCTTGGTCAGGTTATAAAGTATAATGATTAACAATTTCATTTCTTGCGCTTTCCTTTCCAGCAAATATCATTACAAAGTACAATAACTAAGAAATTCACTCTTATCTGCTTGACTGTCAATAAGTCCACTCAGATCAGTTTTTAAGTTACGTGTTTGCTCGGTTGCATTAATCAAAGTTTAAAAAAAGATACTGCCATGTAATAAAGACCGAAATGCCGACCACATTATATATGTCCGCTCGACTAGCAACAAATGGAATGAGATTTTGAATTAAACTCTGATAGGGGACTCAACTCGTTACATTATACGCCACTTGCGGTGCAACGGTTTGTGCAGATGTATGTAGCGTTCAAAAAGATTTGATATAGATTCATCTTTCATTGTAGCGACCGACTCAGAATCACTTCCTGAATCAATTCAAGCTTGTCTGCCCGTCTATTGATTTCTTGTTTTCAACCTACAATTCGTAATTTTTAAGATATTTTGATGAATTTTGGTGTACTGACGTATTTTGGTACAAGGACGAACACTTTTTCGACAACTTCCCATATAATGACTTCTTTTAAAAGGTCATAATATGAGTCATTACAGAGTAGTGTGGAACGTATAGTGGTGGGCCACTGTTCACTATAATGCCTTCATTTGCTTTTGGTTGGTTCTTAACGCCAGAACGGTACGAGCACAGAATAATTAATCTGGAGTTCAATACTGCAATAATTGAAGTTGTAAGTCAATCAATCCGAGTGGTGATTTGGCGTGACATGCTGTATCCTATAGCATGTGTTAGGCTTTGTGAAGGCGGGAAATACAGCTGCTTTCGCGAGTATTTTCCTATTTACTTCGTTTGTTACACTAAAAGTTTAAAATTCCCATTGAATCAATTAAAATGAAACTTTCTTTTCCTTCTATTTATGTTGACAAGTTACAGGCCTTTCTCATATCCTCGATTTTCCAGCAGTTATACAAACAACGCATTCTAAAAACTTTTCCGAAGAACAAATCTTTCAAAAAAACTTATTTTTGTTTAATACAATGAATATCTTTAACTATAACAAATATGAGCAAATCGTCGTAAAAATTTAAATTTTTATTTCATAGAATTCGAGCTGTTACAACGTAGTAGATAAATAGTTTCAAAACTTGTTTAGTTAAGACAGCAACCAAGCAGAATTTATATTTGCGAATCAAACTTGAAATATAGATGGAGCCAAATAAAACTATTGCTTAACAGACTGAACAAACTCCAAGGCTCTGTTAAATGTTCAACTTAACAGAAAAACAAATGGTCAGCTCTGTTAAAATGCAAAGCAAAGGACCAGATCGTTATTTACGATCTGTTAAATTTGAAAAAAACGGATAAGCAAAATATAAGATTCGCTTGGCACGTCATCAGGAAACAAAGAAACAAAAAACGATTAGAAGAGCTCCAGTTAAACGTTTAAAATAGCGAGGGGCAATATCTATGTCCATAAGAACGATTTAATTGAAATTATTCTTACGCTAAACCTAATGGAAATCATAGAAATAATTAATATTTTGTTGTTTCTGTTTATAGTTTATTTAAATTTAGTTATTTATATATAAGTCGCAGGTCATACATTTTTTGATTTCGGTTTAGACTGGGCGCCTGTAAGGGTAACATTTGTTCAAGTATCCAGTTTCGTGGCGCTCTATGTGTGGTACTATCATCTCTGGAACGAAAATTTTGAAGAACAAATTCCACCGTAGCTTTGACGGCAAAAATTCAGATATTTAGTCTGAAAATTCCTCAAATTGCCACAATAACAATAACATAAATAATTTTTTCGTCGAAAAATAATGAAAAGATATTCAAGAACTGACCTACGCGCTTATGGCACACAGCCGCACGGTGGTTACGGTTTGGGACTGGAGCGGCTTCTTTGTTGGCTGCTTAATCGCTATCACATACGTGAAGTCTGTTTGTATCCACGTTTCTTAAACCGATGCCGACCATAATTTAATTATAGAATCTCGTAAAGAAAAGAGGAATTGTAAGCCTTGAACTGAGTCAATACACTTGCCTAGTGGTAACTATACCTTATGATTACTTCCAATTAACGGAATAAAGTAACAAAAGAACGAGAAAAACTTACGAAAAACCTGAAGTGTTACATGTACGAAAAAAAAAGAAGAAAAGTTATTGATGGCAACATAGAAGGAAAAGAAAAGCTTTGCATGCATAAGATATAAAGAAAACAGCATTTTTTTAAAATAAAGTGGGCTAAAAAAGGCTTCAAAGAATCTACCCTAAAATTTCATGCCGCAAACCTTTGACAATTTCCAAAATTAAGATCTCCGGTATATGTTATATAATGGCAAACTGAGTGTTTTTTTTTTTTTAATATACCAGAAGCAATAGTCGATTGCTCTGACGATTAGAAGAAGACTAGACTAAGGCTTCAACGGGTAATTATTGACAATATTTAGCGTTTAATGGCAAATTCTGAGTACGGAAATCGTAAAAGGTATCGGTTCGCTAGCTTTTAACCGCTGAAAGATCAAGGCAGTAGATGGAAAATTATACCTAAAGATTCAACCAGATCAGGGGCTTATTATTTATTTAATTTTACATATATATAAACTTATGTACAGATCGGGTATTCGCTATTATGGGTTATGCATTTTCATAGAAAGATGTAGAAGCTTTTGTTTAGATACGCATCGTTTTTTGCACATGCAAATGAATGAAAAGAACTTGAATGATTTTATTGAAGCCATAGATGATGCTTTAAAGCATAAAGGAAACCTTAAATTTATTGCACAAAGAAGTTGTAGGAAGTGAATAGTTGCGAAAAAGGAATAAGATAAGATAAAAGAAAAAAGAATGTATGATATTCATCTGAGATCCCTTAACAGGACAGTTTTCAGTTCCATATTTGAAGAATACAAGAGATACTTCGTTTTCGGCACATTTTTTACTTCTGATTAAGGCTGACTTTACCGAATGGTTCATAACCTAATAGAGCAACATTTTTCCCGTTATGACGACAGCAATCTCTAAATTGACTCATAAACAGGTTCATAAATCAAACAATTTTTTCAACGCCAAAGGCCAAAAAAAAAAACGATGTGGAACAATGCGGGCACTGGCTTTAAATCGTAAATAATCCCTAATGAATTTGACTTAGCTTGGCGAATTGTCAAAAAAATTAAACAATAAGCAAGTCACATAAATAAAAGTTGTATCGTTAAATTTCTTACGGAAAAATAATGCAAAATTTTCGCTTAATTACGCTTTTATTTATTTCTTTATTTTTTTATTTTTTTTTTTTATCGAATTTTACTAAATTTATTTTAAGTATGTTTTAAATATGTGTATATCTTTTACTTAAGTATTTGATTATAAACTTATTAGCACAAGTGTACATAAGAAGTGTTTGATTATGTATGTATTGCGTACGTATTGCGTATACTAAAATAACAGATTTTCCTTTGCCTTTTAGGTGAAACGTATATAAAGTGATAGGAATAGATTTAGTTTTTAATTTCTTTTAGGAGTGCGTGTATTTTGAAGAAAATTTTTATTTATTTGCACCAAAAATGAATAAATTATTTATCTTTTGATTATTTAACAATAGTGAAGTATAGAAGATGCCAAGGCAAGGTTTTAGTAGGATAAAATAATCTTTAGATAATAAGATTATTTATTGTATATTTACATCTTAACGAATCGTAATGTGCTTAATTACTAAAAAAAAAAAAAAACTACTCAGACCGATTATCATAAGTATTTTCTTTTTCTCGTAAAAATTGTAAAAATTTTCCAAAAAAAAAAATTAAAAAAATCACTGGACGCACGCTGATTACTTTATTGCTTATATAGGATTTGAAAATAAATCAGCTTTAAAGGCATATTATCAGTTTAATTATTTTGCATAGTTTTATTTTATTATTTGTATTGTGCTTCGCAAATATTTTACATGTAAAACAAAAACGATGAAAAATAAAAAAAAATAAAAATTCATTTAAAAGTAAAACAATAAATTTTCTTCGCTCAAAGACCTTTTGGTATGTGTAAGTGTATGCGTGTTTCGAATAGTTAGTTAACATTAGGATACTGACTTAAAAAGAGGTACTTAAAGCTGCAAATATTTATAAATATCTGAGAAAAGCTCAATTATAATAAGTAAGCTCTGCTTGCTGCCTGTTTTTTCTTCGTTCATACTCGAAATTTCGCTTTTTTCGCTTTGTTCTTTTTTTTCTTTTTTGTGGATGGTTTTGAACCCTTTCTTTAACTTTGTGCTGTACGAGCTAATAATCGTATACGTTCCTGTAGATAATCACATATCGAGGTGTATTTCTGTTGACGAGCGACCTGTAAAGCTGTAAGGCCATCGTGGTTTTTCAATAAAATATCACTGCCAGCAGCAATCAATTGTTTAACAACAGTCATGTGACCAAACATAGCGGCCGCGTGTAGAGCTGTTTCACCATTCTATGAAGACCGAAAAATGAAAAAACGTAAGTAATGCAACTCTCCGTACTCTACTAGGAGAAATCTTTGATGATGATCGCTTAAAACATATCCCTCACGCCTCCATACTTCATATTTATTCCGTGTAGATCATACATTTTTAAAGAATTTCTAATGATTGCTTCTTTTTCTTGGTGAGATGCGCTCCGCATGGTAAATTATTCAGCTTTTGTAAAGTGAACGGATAACTAATAGCTTTCCAAAGCGGAGTATCTCGAAACTGTTAGTATAGTAGTGATATCAGTGACAAACTACGCTTTAGGATAGCATACACGTGCCGAAACACTCGCCTCGTTGTGGTGATCCCCGGACAACGGCTTCGGCCGGCAGAGAAGGGTTTAAGGCTTGGACTACTTATAACTCGGCGACGAGTTTTCTGAAAGATGGCTTAGGGGTTCACTGGAGGATGAACTCTTTACTCAATAAGCTAATTACTACAGAGGAAATTCTAACCAAGAAGCCAGCTGGTCATTGGTTACGTAAAAATATGTAAAAGTACTAATTAGTGAGTGCATGGTAGCCCGCCCGCCAAGTCAGTGCAATACCCTAAACCAAAATATCTTGATGAAGGGTAGTCCGATTTTGGTTAGCCGTGATTGTATGGTTAATCCGAAGGCGAGAGTTGTCTGACACCGTTCAGTCGCGTAAAGGAATGCTAAAGGATTCATAGTCTAATTTAAGCACCACGGGGATCAAGAGCCCGCTCACAAAGCCATATATACTTGTGGATAGAAGCGAATGCAATAAATAATAATATAAAAGAGATTTGACGGAAGGCTTTTCTAACCTTTTTGCCTTAAATGAAATGTTCACGAATGCCTGCGGGTAATGGTGGCAATATTGATTAACTGCAATCTGGTAGCAACTGCGGTGGAACAAGCCTATCCCTTTTGAACGCAGTAGTTGATCAATATGTGAGCCCTGATTCCTTGGGTACGGCCCTTCGAGGAGTATTCGTGGTGGTTTTCACTATTCCTAGCCAAAGTGAAATAAATCGAGGTCAGAATAAGCCTCAACACTGACCAGAGTGTGTTTATTGAGCCGTACACAATAAACAATCTGGACTCTAGCGTTGTTTAGACCCCTAGTTTAGAGGGATTGTTTAACTGTCTGGAGGGCGTGGGTTACGCTTAAATAACCTCTGTGCCTTGGGCCACCGTGAGGTTAAGCCATCATGGCAGGTACGCACGCTAAACCCATGACACAATCTGTAGCTAAAGTTCCTCTCCTCCTCTATTCCCGTCACATACAAGTCGTAGTCGATTAAGGGTAGTCCCAGACCGACCGGACCGACAATTACGTTCGAGGTATAAATGTCCTCATATGTCCTTTCTGACTTTTCACAATAAAAATTACTCTCTCTGGAATTCCTTTTGCATAAAGCATACACACTTTTGCTAGCTTGTCATGCATTTTTATTTCTTAGAACACAGGACAGGAGAGCATCCTAAAATTCTCAAAATGTGATTAAATTTCGTATATGTCTTGGACACTGATCAATGACGCACGACTCTCTTCATAGGAATCTCGAGCAATAGTTTCTTGAAATGCCGCTGTGCCTATCAATTTCGAACAACAATTGCGAAGCCCGTTTATCACCATCTCACTCTTAAAACTATTCCACATATTTAATTCGTTAAAAAAAAAAAGAAGAAAAATTATGTATTTCTTCTTTATACTTACTGGTAATAAGCCCAAATTAGGACGATGTTTAAGCAATTCCGTTACTACCGCAGCATGACCTTTATGAGCCGCTTTAAATAACGGAGTAGCTCCATCACATCGCACTGCATCGACATTGGCACCGTGTTGTAATAATACTTTACAAATATGATCGTGACCCATTTGGGCCGCTATCCAGAGCGGTGTGGCTCCATCTATGCGCTTTGTGTCCGAGCTTGCACCAGCGGTTAATAGTAGCGACAGAACTGTACGATGACCATTTTGAGCCGCTATAAATACAGGCGTAGCTCGATCCTAATAAAAAGATTTATTTAATTTGTTGTTTTTTTTTCTTCTGTTTTCTTTGCTAGGGAATGCCTTTTCACTAACTTTCATATAAGCGTTAACATTGGCTCCACAATCCAATAACTCCTTAACTAACTTCACATGACCACCTTGAGCTGCCACAAATAATGGAGTTCCTCCATCCTTTGAACATAAGAAATTCAAAGATTTTATAAGATACAGATAAAGTGATTCTAAGTCTTTTATTTTTTTTTTTTACTTACAATTGAGGGCGTATCCACACTTGCACCGGCTTTTATAAGAACTTTAACTACGTCCAAGTAACCGCCTTGAGCAGCAAAGAAAAGCGGCGTAGTACCAGTTGCTCGCCGCGCATTCGGATCTGCTCCTTGATCAAGTAATTCTAACACGCAAGGCGTATGACCCCCGGCAGCTGATAAAATCAGTGGAGTGGTGCCGTCCTGTAATTAATTAAAAAATATACGCAATAAATGGAATCAATTCAAAAGCAATTTTATTGCTAGAGCTTACAAAAGAAGAAGTAACTGTAACGAATAAAATTCCGAAGCAAAGCAAAGCAAAAAGAAGTTATATTAGATTTGGAAAGATTTTCCTTCTGTTCACCGTTGGTGTACGATATTTAGTTTAAAGGTAAAGCAAAAATCATTTCACTTCATAGTGTCGATCGTATATTCCTCACATCACGTATATAGCATAGAGTTTTAATCATAATTTACCTTTTGCACGATTTTGCCACACTTTACCACACAAACCAAAACAAAACTATATTCATATGCTCCGTCACATGTATATATATATGCATATATATATATATAGCTCTTTGACAATTATTCGTGATTGCAGTGTTCTGTTACTTTGCATGAGGATTTTATTAAAATGACTTTAATTTAATTTGGTTAACATGTTGCTTAAAGCGGGCTTATGAAGTAAATTTTCATCACTTAATATAGCGAAAGTGAAATGAATAAATTTGAAGCGATTCTTATCAATAACAAAAACTTACTTTATTGAGGCCCTCGGTATATATTACTATTTGCTATGTAAGTATTCGAAAATCTAATAATAATCTGGCAGGCATATGAGCAAAGTAACTGTGTAGAGCCGCACTTTTCCATTTACATCGCTCGAATTTGTACAAACGAATAGCTTGTTTTGCCTTCATAGGCAATGCCTTAATTGTCACTTATGTCACGGTTCATGTATATATCTTCAGTAATTGATGGGATATTCGTTAAAAATACGTAAAATGTAGAGCTAAAATGTTGTCGCTTGACAATAAATCTCAGTGCGGTAGTGTTTACTTTCTTCATAGCTATAGCGAGTGGGCGGCGAAGTAGCTGCCAACTTTTCTACAATCTTTCTGTCAAATTTGAATGTGGTCGGAGTGCATTAATCGTGGTGGGGACATAGACAGACGAACAGATATACGCATGAACAGGCTTAGGCCGATTGAGAATATCATACTCATCCAGAATATATAAACATTATAGAATCTCTGCAGCCTTCTAGGTATTGCAAATATTGACATCTCTATGCCCTGTGCACTAGATATAAAAACCAAGTCAGATCGGTTTCGAAAATAAATTTCAAAACATATTGGTCATTAACTTACATATTATAGTAACTGTGGCAAAATGAAATCTAACCTCATTATTTACTCTAGCAACATTAACTTAAGTTTAATAGAAATTGCTCGAAAAGAGAACCAAAGCTTAGTCTGACAGAATATTGTTCTTTATTTTCACGAAATTGTATTAAATTTATTCCTTCTTAGTTATGGGGTGATCCCGTGAGCTATGGCGCACTTAACTTTCCAACTACCTTGAAAGAGTGTCTAAGTAAACAAACTTAGTTTCTTCTTAGTTCTACTCCACGATGAGGAATGTTCACGATGAGAATGAGAATGGTTGCCTTAAAAACTTGCAAAATTATATTTGGATCAATCCATTATTACAGGAAAATCGCCAATCGAAATTCAGTCACAGATCTCATAATTTATGAGTATTCGCATAGGCAAGAAGGAACAAAGAAATCAGTATCTGTATATAGCGCCCATTAACAAACCTTGTAAAATATATTCTTATCTTCTTTGTGAGTTGGCGTTAAGAAATCTGTAGTTTGGCTTATAACATTTATCATGTAAAGCTGAAAAATCCATATAGGCCACCCTAGGCATCCGCCGATGATGAGGAAAAGAGTGTTCATGGTCTTGTCTAGGATTATAGCATTGAACTTGGGAGTTAATTTGTCTGTAAGAGAATTCTCATACATGTTTTAAAAATTACGCAAATTGAGTCGACGACCTATAAAGATGGAATATTAAAATTGGGATTATAGTTTGCATCAGGATCTTCATAGGAGCTACCATCTAGATTTCCCGAGTGCTACACGTATGATATGATTCCAAAACAGCACTGACATGCAGCTGCTAATAAACGTCAATGCCTTATATTTTACAAAAAATTATCACACAAGTGCAATACCTTTATACATACACTCAAACATTTATCGCTTATTTACGATGAGATAACTATGTATAATTAATGAAAACTTTTTTCTCGCTTTAATACAAGGCAGTCAGTCGTATGTATTAAGATGTTTATTTCAAGCAGAACGTAATCTGGTTTTTTCCTTATTATAAAATTAAAGGGTGACTAATATTCACCTTAAGTCCAAGAAAGAATTTTTTTATTTATCTTCTTTTCTTTTATAATATTATAATTTACTGTACTATGAGAAGACACAAAAAAAAAAAAAAAAATATATATATATATATATATGGGTACATGGATACGTGTGCGTATTCGCCTATGCGAGTATATTTTGTGCCTGTCGGTTTGATTGATGTTCTTGAGTCTTGAGTCAAATAACAGTTGAATGCGCAAATAGTGCAAATTACTAATACACTTGCATACATTTAGAGTACATAAAAATTTTAAACGTAAGAGTAGCGCACACACACTCATTAAAAAGGAAATAGAAATTTTCACTACCAAGCAATTTATAGTCAACCTACGCGCTAACTAAGAAAAAGCATTATTTTTGTGATAGTGTTGGCGATAATGTAGTTTTTACTATGCGTGGTCAAAACCATAAAGATTATTTAAAACAAAAAAAATAAAAAATAAAATAATAATAAATAAATAAATAAACACAAAAAAAAGTAAGCAAAAGCAAAAGTATGAAATGTAAAAAAAAAAAGTAAAAAGAAAATGAGAGCATATGCGTGACCGACATAATAAAAATAAATAATGCAAAAAAAAAAAAAAAAATTATTATATATTTAGTTTAAATTACTAGGCGTTTTCTCTTTAACAAATAATTAATAATTAAAAGAAAATTTACAAATGATTTACTAAATACCTCGTCTTTGCAATCCACATGAACTTTACCGCTATCCAAGACACGTCTCAATGTAATATCATCGCCACGCAATGCGGCCAAATGTAGCAAAACGTCCGATGGTGTTTCTTTCTGCATAATAATAATAACAATAATAATAAAATATAATACTTTTTTTTTTTTTTTTTTTTAACAATAGATACAGTAAAGGTATGCACATATTTTTGTACGGTCTGTTAATTAAATTTGTATTTCATTGCAAATTATAAATAAATGTTTTGCGTAATATTTTAACACAATTTCGAAAATGTAAATGTTAAGCTTGATCGGTTGCATAACAGCTACACCGGCATTAGCGGTAACTATATGAAATCGATACATTGTATACATCTGAACCGATATTCATATAACCGCTAACTAACTACATTGCATCATAATCATAATCATGAAATTTAATGTAATGAATACGAGAGATAAGGTCCCAAAAAACAAAAAAAAAAAGCAAAAGAGGCGCGAAAATCTATAAATCTATGCGAGGCATGGGAAACATAGAAAAAGAGCACCTGATGCCAGCAACACTAGCAATTACAAGTTACCCACGTTATTATTGCCTCTCCCTATGGGCAAGCAATAGCAATGGCAATAGCCATAAACAATGACAACATCACCAGCATTAAATGCGCCACAAGTGTCTCTTGTCTCTTGTCTCTTGTTAACAGCACTTCTTTCCCAGACGTAAATAACTGCATTATTGCTGCTAACGTTACCTTTACTATTGCCTGTACTGTTATTTTTGCTGCTGTATTATTTAGCTGATATTACCATTTAAGTTTTGTCTTTTTTTTTATTTTTTTTTTTTTTATTTATTTCCTTTTTCACTACTATTATTAGCGATCACAACGAGAGACCGGCATTTTTAATAAATTTAACAAGTTTTCCTGCACGCTGCTTAATACATCTCATATTACATGCTCTCCGAACAAATCTCTATGCACTCTAACTTTATATTAAGTTAAGTATGTATACACACATGTATATATATATATATATATATATTACATTTTTCGTGTTATTCTGAGTTGATTAACTTTTTAGTTTCTCTATACAATTACATACATATACATTTATCTACGGTTCATATTTATAGATTTTTTTTTTTTTTTTTTTTGACTTTTTATTGTTTCTCTACCTTACATACATATGTATGTCTTTGATACGCGCCTGGATAAATTAAATGTCAAGCCGTTACCACAGCATTACCACCACGTTAATAATATTGCAATTGTTAGTGCTGTTGCTGTTGTTGTTGTTGTTGTTATTGTTATTTCTATGGGTTAACTTTGTTTTACGAACGAAAAAAAAAAAAAACAAACAAACCGCAAAAACAATACAATTTCTATTCCTAACCAACCATACATACATACATACATACAAGACATGATTTTCTGCACACAGTTCAAATTTGAAAGTTTTTTCATTTTCGTTACAAAAGTCAGTTTCGTAAGATGGTCTTAATAAGCCGCTGGAAGGACAGATGACATAAATTTATGTGTATGCGCATTTATATTTGTCTACATTTCCCTCAAACGGTATAAAAAAACCAAAAGACCAAATAAAAAACAAAAACCATGACTTTGATATTATTCGGACAGAAAGTTAAGGCAAAAAGAAAAAACCAAGTCATTATTTTAAAATTGTAAAAAAGTGAAGGGCTGTGAATGTAAAGACAAATACACAAACACACACAAACACACACAAACACACACTCACACAAATTGGAGAATTTTCTAATGATCATAAAAGATCGATTTAGCATAAATCGTTTTTACACACAACGTGTAAAATATGAAAACTAAAATTTATTAAATATATAAAGAAAGAGGTCGATTTTCCTCTCCTTTCTATCTCTCTCTCTCTCTCTCTCTCTGTTGCACTCTCACACTCTTCTTCTCTTTTTCGTACTCATCACCTGAATAACAATATATTCAATAATTTTGAGTAAAATTCAGTATAGAAGAAAGTTCGTGGCGTTTCGTCGATTAGCTTCGGTAACATGAACTCTATCAAATTACACTGGAACACGTGTGAAAGATAACAATCCATAGCGAAGTGAAAAAAAACGTAGCGACATTTGTTAATTCGATCCAAAGCAAGCGAAAACGTTTTGAAAATGAGCCAAAATTTTTGCAAAAAATTCGCTATATTTTACAATATCACGTCGATCAAAGCGATAAGGCTTCACAGGTATGTGAAATTAATCGTGATGTTCGTAATCATCATTATCACACTCAGCCAGCTTGCATGTGACTCGTACGTTTCTCTTTTCGACCTTTGAATGTTAAAAATGCGCTCTGGACTTTGGTTGCCAAATCGAAGACCAGCACATTCCCTTTATGACAACGCTGCCTATTTCAACAGTAGATCAAAAAACAGTTTCAACCCATTCTCGTAACGTTGGATATAAACTTGAAGCTTTTCCTTTGACTGCCACTTAAGTAAATAGTGAGAAATTTAATGGACCAGATTACCATCTGAGAATTGCTGCTGAAAATGCACAGAGTCAAGTCTTGTTTGAAGAATTTGATAATGAACGATGACAAGTGGATGAAACTGTATAAACTTTAACAATCTCGCGTAAGCCAAGCATTTGGTGAGATTGATAGGCAAGCTTTTCCAACTTGGCCGCAAGATTGGTTTTACTCTTCACTGCCAACGACCAAAGTATGATCAAAATGTGGAATTGAAGTAAAACGTCTAGAGCTGATCAATAAGACAATTTAGCAAAAGCAAGCGATAACATTAGAGCACCCATAGGTTTAATGACTTCAAAAACTGACAGAACTTCACAGGGAAGCCTTTTCGCAGACATCAGTACCGCACGCGACTACTCTCTGTTTTACTCTCTGCAGAAATAGGTCGTTTCTAAGAAGAGGGAGATAACCTCGTAATGGTGTAAAGCTGATAACTAACGGCCTTTACTACCAAAAAAAATTGCCCAATGGCTATAAACTTAGTTCAATGAATTTCATTTGCAATATGTCGGTATTTTGGTGAAGAAGTTTTACAAACTATTTCTCGAAAGCCAAAAATATGAGAAAGCTTACCTTCCGCATTCCAAGTAATTCGCAACTTGTGTAAATATATTCCGTATAAAGAGTATTCGGAATTGATAGAATGATGAACAAAATTAAGCTGTTCCGGAGTCAATCATGCGACAACAAATTTTACGACACAAATTTTCAATTAGAATCTCACAAATGATCTTAGAAGGGCCTAATAAGTCGATTCCTTACGAATCGTATAGTGATTTTTGAGCACCGATCAAATGGAAAGATCAGCCAACGAGAATGGATATATCACAGCGAGTGGTACGAACAAATGGATGAATAACGATTGGAAACTTAGCGCACTAGAAGGTAAGTCAATTAAGCCCACAAAATGAGTAAATCTTCGCCAAGCAATCAAACTTCGCTCGCAATTAACTTAAACGTTCTTGGCTGTAAATCAAAATCTCTAACAAAGTGAACGCACAACAGACAATGTAAGAATTTCCCGCCTGAGTATGAGAGACTTTCTCGATTTACGCAAATAATCTTCTCAATAATGAGCTTTGTGACGGATTGAGCGCAGGAAAGGAGTCGCTTGATTAGAGTCGAACGTCTGCAGCCCCTAACAAGTAAAATAATCCGCATGTCTTCTTCGTCTAAGCAGAAAGATTATCAAGTAACTTCAACGAATGCAAATTTCTTGTGCGCCAACGAAGACAGCCAGCTGGTAAGTTCCGGCACAGCTTGGAGGACTTGCAATATGCGTTTGCGCAAAATATTCCATAAGAATATTCCAAAGAATGTAAATCGCAATCTTTTTTTTTACAAATATATGTCGAAAATATATATGGAATATTATATCATATCATGTTCGGACGAAAGCCTGCAATTTGTAGTGACATTCGTGAACATCCGTGATCATCATAGTTTAAATATGGAAGAAGAAACCTGAAGTTTTTGAGGTGCTTTAGTTTTTTTTTATTTTCGAAAAACACAAATTAATTTCAATTTTATTAAACAAAATACGAAAGCAATGGTATATCTTTTAAAAAGCAGTTCCGTTGCATAATACATAACATACATAAGATGTTGGTTACGTATCGTTCGTTAATCAGTTGCTGCTGAAGTCGAAGAAACACCGACTTTAAACGACTTCTTCCGGCATTTCACAAAAACGGATATCATATTTAAGTTCGATACTAATTCAGTAACCCTTTCGAGATTTTTACATAAATTTCAGATTAACTAACAAAGTTTGCATTTTGCTACGAATTTGCGAAAATGCGTTTGCACTGGAAGGTCATGTGTGCTATGTATGTCAAAAAGTAGTTAAGTATTTTAACTTTAAGATATACCGACTTTTTCTCTTTCCTTACGGATCTCTGATTGTCATCGTGTTATACGAATAGGGGGCATATCCTGAGTGCTTGATCATATGGCAAAAAAAAAAAAAAAAACCAATAAGAAACTTATATTCGGTCGTGATCGAATCTTTTGCACCCATCACGGCGATCCTAAAAAAAAACAAACTAACTAAACTTTCATGCTTTGTAAGATTGGATGGGCGCGGTTGATGTTTTCTATTTTAAAAATGAAGTTTAGAAAAGGAAGTTTATACGGAGTATGTGTTACAAGCAAAAACCACGGAAAGAAAGGTTGTTCACAGCTTTTGTAACATAGGCGGATACGCATTGTGGGCATGTTCTTTGAAAAGGTGGGATCACTTTCACAATGTTTTGGAAGTTTGTAGGCGATACCTTCATTTTTGCGAACGAGCGATTATTTATCACAGATACTGGACAGTTGCGCGGACGGTTAGATAACAGATGAAAGGACGGACATGCTTAAGTGCATATCAAATTTAAAACTGACTAAGATTTTATACACTTCGCGGTGTTTTTGAAGCTTGTTTCTTTGCGTTTTAAAGACTTAAAAAAAAAAAATGAAAATATGACACACATAAAACTGTGTAGGCGTGACCGATTCTTTTATTTTTATAGACGTACTACAGTATCGCCCATAGAATATACATTCAATTCATTTTTGTAGGTTTATGTTATATAGTCTATGGGTTATGAGCAAAAAAAACATGTTTTTATTCCTTTCGAAAAACAAAAGTGTCCGGACTTTACGTAGTACTGTGTGCGTATCTTTCAGGCGATTTCGTTTATTTTCAATACAAAACATCTTACAAGAGCTTTCAATGTTTCTGCCAAATTTGAAGTCGGTAGCTTAATTTTTGCGGCGAGAAGAATGTTTACAACAGACTTTATATGGACGGACGCGGTTAAACGCACAGTTTCACTTTTTAATGCTGTTCAAGAATATACATATACTTTGTGGTGCCTGTGAAGCTTCATTCTGGTCGTTGCAAACTGGACGTTTGACAAGCTGAATATATCCCCCATCCTTGGGTGATGGGTATAAAAAAAAAATATAAGGTTCCAATCTACTTTCAAAATACACCGTTAGTATGTATATATACAAATAATCCAAGAGATAAATTTTGCTTTCCAATTGATAGTTTCCGTTCAAGAAGTAAGATATGCACTGGTAGCATTGGTAGCTGAGTTTTTAGATAGCATAACGGTGATTATCAGATTTTAAATTATTAACGTTTCGGCTTTGATTATTTTATAATTTCAACCTTAATCTTTAATAGAAAACAATCATTTTCTATTGTTATTAAAATTTATTGCTCTCGATTAGTTTTACGTTTAAAGCCATAGGCGGACAGATGAACATAAGTTAAATGGACTATTCACTATTCATATGAATAAAAGTTTTATGGCTTCATCTTATTCTCACCTTTTAGACAATCAAGACTTATTAAATAGATGTATGGCGCACCTTTATGTGCCTTATCATAAAAATTGAGCTCATTTGAAGAATGATTTTAATTACCGAATTTAATGAATTCATACAATTAACAAAAAATCTGATAAAGAAAGAGAATCTAATATAATTATCGTTGTTGTTGTTTTGTAAAAAACAATTTGAGCTACTCGTGTTAGCGTCGATTAATCTGTGGCTATTAGTGATTAAAAGAGCGCAAATTTTTCTACTAAACTTAATCTATGCACATAAGCATATTTGTTGTGAAAGTAATACAAATTCATGTAATTAAAAATAATACTGATATTTAACCAGTTAACTGTGTCGACCTCTTTAGCGATAAACTCGTAAACTTGCCAAACGCATATATGGGATATGTAATATGAAATTAAGTTGTAACGAGACTACTTGACAAAATGATAAATATATTTTGTAAAAATGCATTATTATGACAAATACACATTCATAAGGAAAAAATTCCATGAGCAAATCCGCCAAGGACGGATGGACAGATCTTGGCGTATATATGCGTCATACACTGTTAAATGGTTAAGAGTTTTTTCTAGTATTCGGTATGTACTCGTAAAACAAAATTCGTTCCGGAAATACTTCAAGACCAAATATTTTATCCCTGTGATGTTCCAAACTTTTTCTTAAACCTATTTCCAAAAAAAAAAACAATAATATAAAATATATGCCAGCTAAGGTGACCGCTACAGAGACAGAAATTGCAATAAAGAATAATTTTTCCTTTGAAAGTCTTGCAGAACTTTCTTGAGTGAACGTACATCTTACTTGGCGGCTTGGTCCATTTAGTCTCAGTAAATCAAAAAAATGTACTAAGGTACATTTTGACCCCTGTACATGCCGTCGCCCTTCCCTTGCTATATGCTATCCGCACTAAACCTATATATCTTTTATTTTTCGACCATGAAAGACCAATATTCATAGAACATTCAATTTTTAGTTCTATCTTCATGCATAATTATAGTTAGTATACCGTAATTATAGTAATTATGCTATAATAGTTCACTCCTCTTCCATTGGTCGCTTCTTTTCTTCTCTGTTGTGATTTTTTGTGCTTTCCGCGATAGTAGAATTGCATTTTTTGCACTGATAAGGGGCGGGGATGTTCCCGCGTTCCTTCAAATACACTGGCCCGTACGTTTGTCAAATGTGCGGGGGTCGGAGAAAAACATCTGCATATGGCCTTTATCTAAATTACAAGCGTTTCGTATATTTTAATACATATCAAGATCTCTAGGTAACGCAAATATCACAACAAAACTAGTTTATGGCCGTCGTTCAGTAGTGAACACAATGTAATGATCAACATTGCAATGTTGTTATCATATGAATAAATATAATTATAGTCAAATTTTTTTTTTTTTTTTTTTTTGCTTTTCTTTTTTATCTCGACACATATCACAAACTATTTAAGAGCAACACGCAAACATCACGTAATCACTATTTACGCTTAACATTCGTTCCTATAGTTAATGAGCAATCACTTGAGAATAGCAACATATATATATATATATATAACGCCCCTTACTTGTTTTCTACCATTCCCTCTTGTTTTCACTCACCTTTAAAGACATATTTTATAGCATAAGTCAGCGGTAAGAAAACGAATTGCACTATTCACGTCACTTCGATACAATAGCACGACAGCGAACAGCTGCCAATTTTTTTGCTGCTTTCTTTCACAGGCGAGAGAAAGAAAAACAAAAACAAATAGTAGAAGCACGTGCTATTTTTTTTTTATTTATTTGTTTTTTGTTTTTTGTTTTTTTTTTTTTTTTTTGGACGACACACACCGTTGTAGCCAAGAGCGATTAGCGTCTTCCTGTGATGTAAGCGGTCGAAGAATATCGATAATGATAATGATGATAATGATGAATATGATAAATCAGCGACCACAGATTACGACGCGGTAAAGCTACGATATTGAAACAGTCACGAGCACATCCAATACACAAAGAGATACTTCCTTACTTTCTTAGCAATGAATTCCAAATAAATGTTACGGTTTTCATTAAAACTCGTTACAGTTTCAAGCTGCAATGAAGAGAAGAAAAGAAAAAAACAATGTATATATGTTTATATATGTTTATGTAAGCATATATATATATATATATATGTATATATAAAAATAAACCAGCAAAACAATTTAGATGATTACTCGGCGTCGTCTTATTATATCATTGAGGGTAACAAAAAAAAAAAAAGAAAAAAAAAGGCATTAAAGTTAGAAAGCAAGAGCAATCTCTATAAATTGTTGTTAAAGTCATGCGCATGTGTGCATCTACATGTGCATGCGCTCATCTGAAAGTAACAGGTTTTCATTTCAATTTAATGCTGATGTTTGGCGTGTGTTTGTTGTTATTAAAAGCAGAACACTAACCAAGCAAAGATCAATCTTAAGAATTAGTTCAACCGTAATGCAGAGATTGCTGTTCGTCTTGCTGAAACGAAACAGTTGCAAAACCATAAGCAACAAAACCGCAACTAGTCCAACTACCATCACATGTTTTGATCTGCCGTTCGATTGATTTTCTTACCAAATTACATTACTTCATTTGTTGAGTGAATACATATTTAATAATTCGTATAAAATTCATTTCATGCCTCATTTACAACTTTGCTACGCTATGCTATGCTAAATAAACAATTTAAAAAAAACTCGCTCTCTCTCTCTCTCTCTCTCTCTTTCTCTCTCTCTCTTTTCCTCTTTAGTTATCTTTTTTTTAGTCATCTGATCATATCATCGGTTAAGAAATATTTTCTCTTTCTTACAACTTGCTCCTTCTGCCTGCCTGCGCGTAATAAAATTTATCTATTTTCACGGTAATGTTTGCTTATAAAATATGTTAAGATTGCCGCCAGCAGAGTTTATTTAGAACACAATGTCGTTCTTTTATTTACTCTATTTTCATATCCATCACGGGAAGCATGTTCAAATTTGTCGAATGTTTGCACCGCGGGAATATATGTGCATCAGAGATCCGATATCATAAAGAAATATTCTTGATTGACCTGATAGCCTGTCCATCTGTCCGTTCATTAAAACAACGATTACAGTAAATAAAAAAATTTTTCTTTTAAATGAAATAAGAAACACTTTTCTTATCACATTCCTCAGATTACTTTCAAGTAAATTAATCTATGGATTCGTTCACAATTAGCGAAGCCCTAAAAAAAAACAACTCACAACATATGTTCATCTACAAGTTTTCATAAATATTTTTTAGGGCTTCTTGAAAGTTGAATCGATAAATGGATTTGAAGCGATCTTTGCAATTTTTACCACTACATATGGCGATTGTATACTACTCTGTGTCCAGCCGCTTGAATTATCTTTTCAAGTCCGAATCGATTTATTCACACTCAGAGCACCGTCGAGCACTATTGAATATTCCACGCATAGTTTCTTAATCCAAGTTCTTAGATCAGCTTTCAAACTATGTGTGTGCGTCATGCAAACACATATTACATTATAACTGCGATGGATATAATCGATGAGTCCGATGTGAGCTATATATGCAAGGCATATATAGCTTTTTTCAGCACTTAAACGTAATTCTTCGCAAATCACTTCACACAAATTGTCTTTTAAGCATTTTTACTTGTGGCGAAAACAAAAATAAACAATCAATCGAAACCACGATCAGTTGAAACATTAATTTTTTGATTCAAAAAAAAAAAAAAAAAAAAAAATTGAAATTTTTTCTGGCAATGGCTGGCAAATGGCCAAAGTGTTTACAAATCTCGCAATTGGTCGACTATAAATATTTTCACATTTCATTTTATATTATTTTAACATTGAAATAAATTTATATTATAAATCAAGCGATAAATTATCTTAGAGTTGAGTGGAAATTTTAATTCGCGTCACAGGAATAATAGAAAGTCTGTCGAAATTCGCTCAAGCGTAATAGATAGCATTATAGCAGACAAGCAATAGACCTGTGGTCTTTAAATATAGGATGATTATGGTAAGTGTTAAAACTCATGCTATACCTATTTTGGTTTCTTTGTAAATTTATTGAAATCTTTGATATGTCTTGATCAGATAGCCTCTACACCATTAAAGGAAATACAGCTCAAGTGTCTCAACCACTTTTTTCTATAAGATTGAAATTTCATCGTACATTTCTTGGAAAGAAATTCTCATTTTCTTGGCTTAATAGATACTATGAACCTTTTGAGATATATGTGAGAGAAAGTGGTTTCCTTGAAAATTTCGAGCTCTTTTCCAGGTGCTATGATGACGCCAAATGAATCTCTACAGGGAAGTTGCAACCTAATGACTTGCCTGTCGATTTCAAGCTCCTCTAATACTCTAGCGAATGTCTTTGAAAAGCATTGATTTTCATTTAAAAGCATACACCTTAGTATGACTTTATGAAAGGCAGAATATGAACTCCATGTGGAGAGGATAACTGACATTTGGAAAGACCGAGTGTTTGGGTACCGGCAACCAACTTTTCTGATGGTGTATCGTATATGTATGATAACTGCACCCGTTGCTGACAAGGTTTGCCACATGGAGAGTGGTAAAAAAAAAGCCTTTGGCTCGTTCTTCTAAGGAAAATGATGTTAATCAGTTTTGCGATTTCAACAGGCGATAAGGAAAGCATGGACATGAACGCCTAAAAAAAACCACTATGGATGTTCGCCGGAGACACATATGCTTGATGGGTTTTGCGTTACAAACGTACGGTCACCCTGGCCCGTGCTCTCTATACTCAATATAAATACCGCACCTAATATTTTATTTAATTGATAGTAATCGCAACAATTTTTCAATAGTATTTACCTGAAAGGGCGCAAATTATTGATCAAAACATATTTAGATATTTTTTATTCCCCTTATTTTCTATTTTCATATTTCAATTTTGGACACAACGTTCATGTTTCCAGCAAGGTACGACATGCTCGACTATTGGACATAAATGCCTACTTTAAGCAAAGTGAAAGGGAAAAATATTGAACAACTAAACTAAAATTTTTTCTTTAGATTTTCGTTTCATTTTTTTTGATTCGAATTTATTGAAAATGTTCTAGTTTTTTATTTGAAATTTTTATAAAATAATTTGAAGGCTACCGTCTATTATTACACAAACATAGTTTGCACAGTTGTCTAAATATACATAATATTTGCCCATTGAACTTTGCGCGTTCATTACATATATGTGTTTATACATATATAAATGACGAGATAGATAGAGATTTTGTATAGTCTAATCCGGATAATGAACACACTTAACTTACATTTAAATAAATCTCCTCGAATATGATCAGAGCATAAACATATAAGAAAAAAATATTGTTTATATAAACTTAGAATTTTGCTTAAACCCCAAGAAGATGACACTATTAAGGTCCTATTTTAAATGCTAACAAGAACAAGAAGAAGAAATGCACTAATCATGCCATTAAAAATCTATAGGATTAATAAAAGATATGCGCTTAACGAGTCCATGTTTTAGTAGCTGTTGAAGGCAACCGTTTAACGAATTTTCGAGCTTTCGAGCAGTCCCTCCCCACTACAGGATTTGGTATCCACTACTGGATTTGGTAAATGCTTGTAACTTCGAAAACCCTTTAAGCCATACCGCTCATGTAGGAAATAGAACTTGTGTAGGTATATTGCAGTCTAGCTATTAAAATCATAAACTTTATCTAAGGCAACAAAATTTATTTAAAATTTAAATTCTTTTACTGCCTTCAGATTAAGAGAGAAAATAGACTTAGGCAAATAACTTTCTACTAACTACTCTTTTTCGTGAACTATGATCTCAGAATTGCAGAGCTTTTGAGATTCGTTCGTGATTATTAAAAACCGTAAGCTCTTTAAATAGCATGAAATATCTTAGATATGTTAGATTTTTAATTTTGCACTATATAGTTCGTACAGAGTGCGAAAATGGATTGCGATGTACACGATAAATACGATATACACATACGATCTAAGACGCAATACTATATAAGTACGTATTTTTCTCATAAGTTCTAACGTTAAATGAAGGAAGATACTCAAAGAGACAAGTTCCATCGGGAAAAGACCGTAGCTTGATTGACCATACATTAGTTTGCTTTTTCTTTTTGAATCCAAGTACAAAAAGACAACATAAGAGATATTCGATTCGACTTGAAGCGAATATGGAAAATAATTCCAATAATTTTGCATCAAAAAGAAAAGCTATCCACTTACGAGTACACACATATACATATCTATTTACCAAACACCTATCTATAAATTCACGATATTTGTTTTCAAATGTGTTTGGTAAAAGGACCACAATTCAACAACATACGGTATGAGGAATTGGATGCCATATTCTTCACCAAGTTGACAATATTTTTTATTTAGCCAATTGTACAAACTAAACATCATATTAATGTAGCGAACCCTATTTACACTTGATTTATTTATGGACTGATTGAACTAATTTTCAAATTTGGCATGAAAAAAAGAAAACAAGCAAAAACATTATAGCCAGCCACGACTTACCATTCGATAACCTACGCCACTTTACATCATTATTTACGTAATGACTTTTCACAATAGGGCATTATATGGGAAATGGTTGAAAAACGAAACGGTACGAAACCGAGCCATATTCAACAGAGCTTGTTCTTTGGCCAAAACAAGCCGGTGTACCCAGTTTTGCGAAATTATCTTAAAAATTGCGATCTAAGTTAAGTTGAACAGAACAATACATGGACGGACGGAGGGACAAACTGACAGGCTTCCTGAATCTATAAATGTAACAAAGGATGGATCTATCTCAAGACCTTCTGGTTGTTGCATACATTCGCACAAAATTAATATGTCCACAAGTAGACCATACCATAACCTGATTATGTAACATTTATTTATAAACAATTTTTTACATATCACTTTTGGTCTGGCTTATAGCTATTAAACATGGCTTATGCAGAATTTTAAGGAAAAAAATCAAGCCAACTCGCATCTCCGAAACAGGACTTTGTCGTTTTACAAGAGCAGTCCCCATGGACAGACGGACAGACATAGGCGTTAGATTAGCTTCCGCTAATCCAAAATGCCTATATTTTATAAGTGCTTCATAGCCATTGTCATGCTTTAAAAGCATTTGGCCATCCTGTAGTGCGGATGAAAGCATACTCCCTTTGTATTTGTAATGAGTTTTACCCCTATTTTTCTACTTCATATATATATCGCAATTAGTTTATACTACCTTAAATTATATGCAAACTTTATGGTCATATATGTAAATAAGTATATAATATATTCACTGTCACGTACGGAGACTCGTTACATATTCATTGAATTCTTTTTCAATTCCTTACAAATAAATTACCAAACTTTACACGTCGTGCGTAAATGGCTAAAGAGTGATGTCTTAAAAAGTGCATAAAAATTAAATTGCACAAAAAATTTATGAACTTTTAATTATTCGACTCATTTAGCAATTAATGCATTTTTCACAATTTGATGGCTCCATAAATCGCACTCACTTTCTAGCCTCTTTATCAAAAATCGTGAAGAGCTCATGCAAAATAATTTTGTTTCCGTTAAATGAATTTTTATGGGGTTATAAAAGCTTTTGTTTTTCTTTGCCTTTCCTTGAGTCTTCCTTTTTTTTTTTTTTTTTTTGTTTTTTTGTTTTATAATTATAAACACAGTTCGATATGATTGCAATCACATAGTAGAATAGTCTTTTGTTTTTCCTTATTTAATATCACACGTTGTTTCTCTCATATATCGGCAATTAATTACAAGCCCCTTCGTAAATATTCTTTAAACAGAAAACAAGTGCGCGTAGCAGCAGCACTGAAACGTAACTGACTTTCTGTGCGGCGTTGAGCAGTCTTGTCTTTAGTTGTATTAAAAAAAAATAAAAATAAAAAAAAAAGTAAAAAAAATTATGTCTAACAAACATTTTCAAAAAAGGTAAACTTTTTTATAGCGCTACAACAACATATGCTAAATATAATATAATAATAACGTAGTGGTATACAAACTTATATCAAACGAAATGAAAAAAGAAACGAAAGAGAAATATTTTAGCCCTAAGCTTTGTAACAACAGAGAGAGAGAGAGAGAGAGAGAGAAAGAGAAGAGAAAGATCTTTAAAAACAAACAAATAATAATAATAATAACAATATAAAATAATAATAAAAAGAAGAGCTCAAGAGCTCAATACAAGAAACGTCACTTATACCCTTAACAATTTTCTTTTTTCGTTTCGAAGAGCTTAGGGATATCTTAAGTATCGCCTTTTACCATTTAAAACCGCAATTTGATTTTCTCTTCTTTTGGATAGATTATTCTCACAGATTTTATTTCCTGAATTAAAATGATTATCAGCGTTTACGAAAAACAAAAATAAAGGAAATTCCTGACTAGTTGTGTTGTAGTTGTGAAAATAGAGAAGAAATGCATGATATGTAAGAATAAAATGTTATAAAGCGAATTGTTTATCGAATGATATCAAAGCGAAGCATGCAAACATATATACATACAAATAGGCAAACGGACAGACAACATTAACTTACAAACACAATTACGGAACAAGAATGCAACTAAACCTGACACTAAACATAATAATAGTTCTACAACATTAAAGAACTACAAATATATAGAATCAACAACCAGCAACACAAGTGAGAGCGACAAGCATGAAATCATAGATAAAGAAAAATGAATTCTTCTTGTGCTGGCAAAAAGAAAATGCTGATCATTCAATTTAATGCGGTTAATGAGCACAATACCAAAGCAATGTAATGATAACTTTTAATGATCATATATATAATAATAATAATAATAATAATAATAATAATAATAATATAAAAATGTAATAAATATGTACACGCAATCTTCTCCAAATATACAAATAACTTTGTATACCACATAAGATTCATTGAAGAGAAAAAAAAAAATAGTTAAATGCAAATCATTATTAAATTGTTACACATTTTTCAAAAGCCACGTGACGCTTAAATAGAGATCATAAGTATGCCATTTCGTTATGTAAATCATAATTATGGCATAAAATAGAAAAGAAGAAGTTCAATCATTCATTTCTGCGTGAGAGATGCAAAATCTGTCGAGTGGAAATGGATTTGCTGCCACCGATCTTAAATACACTTATTGGCCGACAAACTTTGATCGTCAATGGTACAATAATGAGTGATTTGGAATAATGTGATTCGATAATCACAAAATTATTTTCGAAGCTTGTTCTAACATTATTGGTCGATAAGTTTAGGGAAACTTTTTGTATTATAAGGGCATGAGAATAAATTTCTTTTTAACCGGCAAAGACTGACATGCAATAACTCGCTTAAGCCGGCCCTAACAGACCTAACAGACCTCTGTTAAGTATGGTGGGATTTGAAAGACTACTCCGTCCAAATTAGCAAAAATAAGATATTTTTGTAGACACCTAATGAATCTACATGAAAATACTATTCGCATGAACTAAAGAAATTCAAACTTTTTCCTTCAGACTTATTTTTATCAATTTTTTTGAAATTTGGTGCTTTAGTATAGAACAGCTATGAAAAAGTTATCAAATTTGAGACCCAAGCGGAGCCAAAGCAGAAAAGGCTTTGAGTCCACTTTCACCTTTACCGCGTAAATGTATATGGAAATACTTTTCGAATGAGATAAAGTTTTCTAATTTGGACGAAGGGGGCTTCTAAACGCGATTAACTTAACAGAGCTCTATTAAGGCAATCTTCGCTCGTTGAATTTCAAATTATCTTCACATTCATTATTGAAAAGCTAACTAATGTTGATTTCGTCCTTATTGCACGATCGCGTTAAATACACTTTGTCATTATGCTTTAACGCCAGCGGCATTGGCTGCTCTATCACATCAATTGTTTCTATTTGCTCAACCGCATCTCAAACTATTATAACCATATTGGCGTAAATTTTTTTCGATTTTACTTTAAAAAATTAATTGTCGATATAAGTAGTAATTCCATAAACTTTAATAGTATCGGTAAGGAAGGGATAAATTTGAAACAATTTAATATACAAAAAATTAATAACAATTGCATGTTTTTCCGGTATTAATAGACAATATCATATTGCAAGACAGCATTACTTGAATGATATTTTCAACTTTATTTTAACAAAATGCATTTAATTAAATATTTGAAACGAGTTAGTATATAAAACATGCAAATGTGTGCTATTAATACCGCACAATTGCAATTACAGAAGAGCGAAGAAGTCTTAAAAAAAAGAAATGTTGTATATGAGCCAAAATGAACAAAATCAATAATGCTGAAAAAACGTTGCATATTTTACGCTGCACTATATAAATTTTATTATAAATTAACTTGAAGCGGTGAGCATATTCTATGGAATAAAACTGTGTTCGCATTGCATTTTATCACAATTTGAAAATATATTTTAGTAAGTTCAAATTTTCTCCAATACGTGCTTTCTGGTGCCGCATAATTCTTAATTTTTTTCCATATTTCTAAGGACTTGTAATATATTTACCTTTACACGTCATATTAAAGCATATTTCCTCAAAAAACATTGAGGAAATATTGTGGAAATTCTCTTAATTAAAATGCACAACAATATCACTTATTATTGAATTTATTACTGAACGTGTTTTCCTATTTTGCTTTGGCTCTCCTTTCGTACACAACAATAACATCATATAAAAAAGTAAATGCAAACCATTTAAGTCGAATTTTGTTGCAGTATAACGAAAATTTTTCTCTCTCTAATGTAAAACATTATTATGTCGAAATATTAAGATCGACACTAAAAGCAATTATGATTACAAAGGAAAAATTAAAAAGTTACTTATGAAAATTAAAAAAATCTCACCAATTCATCAAATTTTCTCAACATGACGGGTACTTTATAGGTTCAATAAAGCATTTCCTTTGAAAATTAATCTACATGAAATCGTTCGAAATATCCCGCTCAGAGTACTTTTGCATTAATAAGATGTACATCAATTCTTAACTGCATTTGTAATATTATGGATGTGTTACAAATTCGTTGTTACTTGACGAAAAAGAAAACTTGCATTCAAGTGGAGTTAGCCTTTTGCGAATTTTTCTTGCAAAATAGATAAAATTTTGTTAAATATAATTTTTTATAACGTCTCTGACTTTGGCAATATAAACGAAAAATTAAAATAAACTTTGTTTATCCATCCCTCAACACCATACCTTTTGCTTTGTGCATCGAGTAAGAAAGTGCTTATGAATAAATGAAAAGAAAAATTCTTTAAATAAATAATGCAAAAATTTAAAGCACTAACATACTTTGAGCAACTCTATCTTGTCAGAGCTGCTTGGCAATCGCTTATAAACAGCCAACTTCACTAAGCAGTAGTGACAATACTTTTCTCTCTTCTCTTTTCTTTCTTTTTCTCTTTTATTTTGCACTTAATACAAGTTGTCAGATATTTTCTGTAAATTTTAACAAGAAAAAGTAAGTGAAATAAAAAAATATTGTTCGCTATTGAAATATCTAAATAAAAAGATTATTATAAAAAATAATTTCAGTATTGCACAATGGAGAACGACGCTGGTGAAAATGTTGATTTATATGTGCCCCGCAAATGGTATGCACGTGGTTTGAAATCAATTAACATTAAATAACTTAATAAATTCATTTAGTTCGGCTTCTAATCGCATTATACATGCTAAGGATCACGCCTCCGTACAAATCAATATTGTCGATGTTGACCCCGAAACAGGTCGTATGATTGATGGCTCCAAAACGTATGCCATTTGCGGTGAAATACGTCGTATGGGTGAATCTGACGATTGCATAGTACGCTTAGCTAAGAAAGATGGTTTAATTACAAAGTAAGTTAAACAGCGATAAAATTTTCGTTTTATGTCTCACATTACTAAGAACTCGTGAATTAATGTTTATTAAGAAATTGTTGATTCGGCAGTCCAATTAGACTTATAAAAGATGTGTTCTATTTTGAATATCTTCATAATTGCTCTTTTTATGCCTAACATTCAATTGCCCAGGATGTAGTAGGTCTAACTGCTTAGTAGAGAGATGGGAATTTTGATTCTAATTCGATGTAAATACAATATATTTATTTACTTATTTCTCTTTCTTTTATTTCAGAAATTTCTAAGCTGTTTATAAATAAAGTTTATATCTATAACTCAAAATACTTTCTTTTAATTGTAAAGTGCGAAGTTTGCAATTTCTTAGCCAAGTTCGGTAAATAGTGCAGTGCTTTTGGACAACTTGTGTGTGTAGTTGATTATGGTATATTAAAATTTGTTTACTTATCTGATATCGTAAAATAGGGATACCATGATTTCTATTAAAAATACGTCAACTACTTAAAATTATGATTAAAGTACATTTATTTACGTCGCTGTATTCGTGTGTGTATTGAAAAGATGAATTATATTTTATTCAACATAGAACATTACAAATTTTTCAATGAGACAAATTTTTGTAGAAATTCGAGAAAACAAAACAAAAAATTCTCAAAGTCTTAAAAATATTTTAAAAAAAATATATTTTTGAATTTAAATGAAATCATTCAAACGTCAGCTAGCTAGAGATTTTTGTTGTTGTTGTGAAACTGGTGGATAAGTGAAGAAAATGAAATAATTGAATGGAAAAATTTGTGCGTTACTGTCGTTAAAAATAAAATGAAGAATTGTGTGGTAAATAAAAGAATAAAAAATTGTTAAAATAAAAAATAGATTAGAATATTTGTGTGCACGAAGTTCTACTGGGGTCTTTGTGGCTTCAACTTTGTAGTCAAACAAATGTTGGAGAAGCAAACAGTTGACTTGATAAAGTCTTGATATATTCAAATTATCAATCAATATAAGAAAAGGTAACGAATACATAATTTATATTGATTCGTTTTCGTAATACCGTTTTAACATAACTCCTTGACAATAAAGAATTCGCGAAGGTTTTTTTTCAAGGTTCTGCAGTACATAACATTTTTGATTGCATCAAATTCGCTCTGTAAATATATATAAATTTAATTCGAAATCCTTTAGTGAAAATGACTTAAATTAGTCATATAAATATGTTATATATTCATTGAAAGATAAAAAGATGTCTAACTAAAAAACAAGACAATTCGTTTTATGAAAGTATTTTATGATTTGCTCTTCGTTTCCTGCATATTTTTATTCGTCCCATCACAGATACATTCAAATTGCTTGTTTTTTTTTTTTTTTGCATCATTCTGTTTTGCTTTTTTTTTTCTCAGTCTATGAAAAGAGTGCATGTGCACTTAAAATCCACTTAGGCACGAACAAGTATTAAAATCGTTTTTCATTCAGTTTATCTCAGGCAAAATTACGTATTTTTTTAATGTAAATGTGTGTATGCATTAATGTTTATATTAACTGGTTTGTGTCTGCAAAACAGTTAGACAAATATTTATTGTCTTCGGGTAAGTGTTATAACAATTTGATTGTATTGTCATTATGTGGATACATTAAGAAGATAGTATATATTTGCCTTTGTGAGCACATCCATGTTTATTTGGCCTTCTGATATCTTTGAGAATACTTTATCAGATGTACCGAGAGACAAAAAAAAATCTGACAAAATTATACACGAGTAAGAAAATTATGTACATTCGGCTATGGCCTTCTTTTTTGTAGCACCAACATTTAAAACGAAAAAATGATATTTTCATAATATATAGCGTTGAGTAAACGTAGCCCGATTTTCTCACTGTAATGCAGAAAGTATAGCATCATTCGGGACATCATTTTAGGACATTAAATAAGACCAAAAAATTGAACTTATTTCCTTTCGAAAACAGCGGTGTTTTCAATTTATGCGGTACCGCGGACTTGTCCTGCGACTGATTTATCTCCTTTCAATACTAACAAGAATACAATACTGGCAAGAATTCCCCATTTTTCCGTAAGTTTAGAGGCAATAGATTCATTTTTGCTACCAGGGGAACGTTTACATCAGACATTATGCAGGCAGACGGACTTGCAAGTTCAGAGCTTGATCAAGAATACATATAGTTTATGGGATTTCTGAAGCGTTCTTGTGAATGTTGCAAATGTTTTGACAATGCGAATGTACTGCCATTCGTTGTGGTGGTAGCTTTAAAATTGATGGCATAAATAGTTCTTGTTAATTTTCTTTCGGCCTTAATATACATGTACATGGTTTTATCGTAAGGTTTCTTATAATTTGTAAGTTATTTACTTTCACTCATGTAAAATATTCATAAATGGTTTTTCTTTTTCATATCAACAATGCATTTAATCCCCTCATGCATATATGCCAGAATTCCGTACATGCCTCCTTTATAGTTGCAAAGTTTCGTAAATGCGACTGCTTTTGCTAGTCATTATATCAATTTGGTTTATTTTCTTTTTTAGAAGTAGGCGTCAAACATATTACATTCAAACGCTCTTCAATGCGCAGTATTTTAGTACATCTTAACCTATTGAGACAACTGTTGTAAAATGTCTACGATTTTGATCTTTAGTAGAAAAGCTTCTACAAGGAAAGCTCTCTAAAAGGGTTTATGTGAGTATGAAAAAGTTTTAATGACAGAATGAATAAATTGAACATTTCGACTTATAGTAAATTTCATCCAATCCTCACATTCGCTTTACAATTCATGACAATACCATTAACTAGTTTAATTTGTAGGAACGAATCTTGAATAACTTTTATCAAAAAGTGGGGGCTAAAATTTGGTTTAAGCGATTTTCGGTGAAAGAACAGGGAAAATTTTAAGGAATTTGAAAATGCACATCCTGGACTCGCATTACTAACTTAAGCCAAGTAGGATTAACTAGAATAATATCTTACTGTATGGATATTTTTTTAAATTTGTAACCATTGGAAACTAAGATTAAGTAGTCCACCAACAACTTACTGAAAATCAATAAGCTTTCTTTGACAGCGGACTGATGTAACGAACTTTGATTATTTGCCTTACAGATTATGGCAATTCGCATATCATCCATAGGAGCGGCAGGTCAAATATTTCTATAGACTCCCTGGGATATATATGACCGCGAAAAACGGAAGCGACTCTCTTTAGTACCTGCTATGCATAGATCTCACACATTTGTCTGCACTTATAATGTGCCACTGTTTAATTCACAATCTTTCGTTTAAACGACTCTAAATTTCGGATTTTAAGCTACAAAAGCTCTTATCAGAGTTCTGTGATCAGATGCCCTTTGTTTAAATTAATGCTAAATACTGAAAACGTTGAATTTTTTCATAACTTCTTGCTACCGCCTCCAATTCTTATGTGATATATATTTATATTAGTTTCGACCAAGCCGGTGCATATACATAAAGAAAATACGGTAGATTTTAGAAAAGTATGTACGTGTGTTTCAAGCTGAAATTTACAACTTGATTTATATAAAGCTATCTTTTAAGCATCGTCTCAGAAGAGAGAGAGAGAAATAGAAACACTTTTACTAAAAGTGCTTATTTCTGACAGTAGGCTAAGTTTTTAAAGATAAACTGTCATAACATTCAACTTTTTCAACTAAACGGGCTTATGGTGGTGCGTAAAGCTAGCTGAAAATAGCTCTTACAATAATTTTTATGTCTCGATGGGGAAAATGGATGCAAAATTTCTTAAAATTTTCCTTAGTATATGTTTCAAAGCATTTTTCGCTTATTTGTTTTATTGACTGTTTCAAAAATGAAAATAAAAAAAAACGTTTACTCATAGTTGGAGGTCATACATCTATGTTTAGATGACACACTTTTCTCTAATTTTATATCGCTTTAGAAATGTTTGCAGTCTTTTTACAGCAGCACATTTATTTATCTAACTTGATCACTTTTGTTAATGAAAAAAAAAAAAAAAAAAAATTATTTTTTTAATTCAATATTTAGTAATATTTTTTTATTTTTCCTTAAATACGATATGTAATCAATAAAAAGACCAAAGTATATGGCGCCATTATATTCAAATGGCTAAGGAATATATTTCTGGATGAATGGAAAGTTCATTTTTTGAATTAATGCGTAAAAAATCCTTTGTTACAGTCTTAGAAAGAAATGAATCGCTGACTAATCGGATAAAAACATTTTGTCGCTTTGGTCGTGTTATTTAAACGGTTGAGTCACTCGTTTACCACATTAGCAAAACACTGGACAATGACTTTGTCGTCTCTTCTTGCTTATAACAGCCAGTTTACTTTTCGCTTCCCGTCTAATTGTAACAGTTATCGTTTATATATCTTTATTTATTCGTTCAAATCACTGTTCTCGCCTTCACAAAACTCCTAATTTTATTCCTTACTAACGTCTTGAACGAATAGTGCACAATAACTCGATAATCGAAGAAGACTGTTAACATCACCCTGACTTCGGAGTGACTTTGACGCGGTTTTTTCAGTCTTGGGTAACTTTCTGCAAAATGCTGGCTCGATTGGTCAGTTATTTCACGTCGTACGCATAGATATAAGTGCCATCTTCGGTAATGATGTTTTTCAAGGCATCAAGACATTTAAAGTTACTATTTAAAGGTGACAGTTAAAAGGGAAAAGTTATGTGCCGAAAGAACTGATGAATCAAATTCAGTAAAGATTTGCCTGAACCACTTGTAGAAAATTTAGAAATTCTCAATTGTCGGCGAATCGACAACATCCAAACTCAAATTGAAAAATATATGATAATTTATTTGGGCCGGAGCGCGCAGTGAAAATTTCAAAGCAACAACATTTTGGATTCTATCTTGGCTGATTATGAAAACTGTGTCCATTCTTGTCAACGTCAACAACATGAATGGATATTTATGCTTTTAAGGTAGGGTTCTGTCTTGGATGTGATGGGTATGATTAGCCGGGATGAGTTTATGAATTTTTGCTAACACAATCAGGCTAAATAGCCTTGTAATCGGGGTAAAAGTTTTGAAGAAGTAACGCCCACAATAAGTGAAATGTAGTTGATCATAAAAAGAGTATCCAAAGGAACAACATTCGAATATTAACTTACAGTCGCTTTACTTCTTTCGTAAGCACGAGGAAATGATTTGTTTGCGTCAGAAGACGAATCCTTCCGCCAAAGAATAGCCCTGGCACTCGCAAAAGTGTAAAAGATAAATGGTCGATATTTTGAATAACATATACCTTCTCATTATGACAAACTAATCAGTTTCAGCATCCAAATATAAAAATTTATGCATAAATTGTTCAGTTCATTCCGAAATCGTACCTATCTTATATGAGTTTATGTGGCAAATGAATTTGCATCCATCAATTATTGATAAGCATTGCACGCTTTTCTCGCTTTCGCTTATTTCGCAAATTAGTCGTGGAAATGTCAATCAAATCGGAGATGTTACGATATACTTTTTGTTGTTACTATGGTATTGTTTTGGTCAGACGACTGTCTTGTAGACTTGCATAATATTTTAATTATTTTGCCTAAAGAATTCATTTCGATGAATTTCTTTTGTTTATCTTCTTGCAAAATTCTTTGTCTGCCAACAAAAAGCCTTTCTCAAGAAATTGTTGTTTTGTAAACAAATTATTTTTGTACTACTTAACAAAAGCTATACTCATTTTTTGATTTCGTTTGTAATACTTCGAAAATAAGGAAGAGTGTGAAGAACTAATTCGAATTTTTTTACCAGAGACACCCATCAGCTACTTTAACAGACCTCCGCAAACGCGCTAACAGAACTCGCTAGTGGTTGAACGTGACAGCGTCCTCCGTCCTACTCAGGAAACGCAATATATTTTATGGGACCCTTAAAGAACCTCTATAAAAATACCTAAAACTACTCAAGCGAATGTGCTGCACATAGCTGAATGCAGCGCTGCACTAAGCTGAATGCAGCGCTGCCCCTACCAAGTGTGCTGCACATACCTGAGTGCAGCGCTGCACATAGCTGAATGCAGCGCTGCACATAGCTGAATGCAGCGCTGCACGTAGCGAATGTGCTGCACATAGAGACTGTGCTGCACCAAGCTGAATGCAGCGCTGCCCCTACCGAGTGTGCTGCACATACCTGA